TAGTGTCTGTTGAGTATCTAAAGTGTCTGTATGTGTGTTTGTTTGGCAAGTAAAACTACTAAAAGACCAGTTACAGTAAAAGATGAGAAGAGACTACAGCGCTAGTGCGAACGAGATGATAAGAGCTTTTTATAACATAATTTTAAACCTTTAAAGTCAGGCTTTAATAAATTACATAGAGCACTACCCCAAGAATTTGTCTTTTTAACCAGAAATACTATGGCATATCATCCAATATGCCCACAATTAGCTGTTCTGTCAATTCAAGGGATTATTATCATGGATAGAAAATGCACACACCATTTTATTAGAAACGGTTTTAATGAATGCCTTTACACTGAAAGACAAAATGAAAATAACATCCTACAAAAATTTTATAAAAGCTCAAGAACGAAACTAAGAACAATGTATCAAGCACTCACTATACCCAGAAAGGTTAAAGAATCACACTTTAAAATATTGAACAACACTTACCCTTCTACAGAATTATTGAGACTTCACTTTGGTATAGATGATAACACATGTACGTTCTGTGAAAATGATATCAAAATTACGGACCATGTGTTCTTCACATGTTCAGCGGTGCAAACATTTTGGTGTGATTTGCATAGATGGATTAAGCGACAGCTATCTTCATTCCCAAATTTTTATCTCCAGGGAGGATGTCACTTTCGGTCTAATACTGCAAAGTAAGCGTGATGTCTAGCTAAATTTTTCATTCATAAATGTAGAATTGCTAAATCATCTCCCAAAATTGTTTTGTTAAACGAGTTTAAGCTGTATATACAATCAAGAAAGATTCTGAAAAGTCCTAAAGCACAAAAAATATATGATATCGTAAAGCACTTCCCAACCGAAGTAACCAATTAAAAAAAAGTCTGAATTCTCCCCTCATGTTATACTTTCTAATAATCTTAATTTATATCATTGTTTTTATTTTATAATTATTCTTATAATTTTCTATTTGTTTATTTATTCGGTTTTATGTATTTGAATGTTTATGTTAATAACCCTCTATAGCAAGCCAAACATTTGTGATAAGGGGGAGTGGCGACCTAGTGGTTAGGGCATAGGGCTTTGAATCCTGAGGTTGTGAGTTCAATCCCCCACTCCCACAGACTGCCGCTCTGGGTCCCTGAACAAGACCCTTAACCCCACATATATATATATATAGTATAGAGTATATATATATATATATATATATGTATATATATATATATATGTATATATATATATATATATATATATTTTGTATGGCTCCCCAAGGGGATGGGTTAAATGCAGAGAAGTAAAATACCTCTGGGATTATTAGAGTATATATAAAAAAGAAAAAATAAGAGATGCTCCCCCTGGCTATATTTTGTATGTATCCTGACTTGAAGAAACGAATTCTATGCAGCCATGTTTGTCTGTGAGTCTTGATATTTTCAATAAAAAAATAAAATAAAATAATAAGTAAATAATAAAAAAAAAATAAAATAAAAAAAAAGAGAGAGCTATTTATCGCAGAAAAACTACAACTCCCAGGAATATGCTCACTTCCGGGTGTTGCGGTCAGCGGCAAGAAGGAAACATGTGACCTTCCATCCATTAATGACGTCACGTTTATTGCGACGTAGGAAGCGCACAGCAGGCTGGATTAAAACATTTTGGGGGTTTTTAGTGCGCGTTTATTGGATTTATGGGCGGAGCTTCACTATCCTTTCTCTGCCTTGCAGCTATATTTGCTGTGATCAGTGGGAATAAAGTAGTTTTAATATGTTTTTAAGTGAGAAAATACACCTGAAAACGTAATCAGTGCAGTCAGTTCATTCAGATTATCATCCTCCCTTACAATATTTTTTCTGTCGGAGCCGCTCAGACCCCCACATACCAGCGGTGCGCGACAGTAGGAATCCCTTCATCAGCAGCCTCTGGCCGGGTCGCCTCCTCGCGGTTGACCGCGGCAGCTGGTAGGTGTTTTTCATCTAAATAATCCAAACTGCAGGCAGCAGGATAATAAAAGCAAACATATTCTGCCGGCAGATTTCTGCATTTTAAGTTAATTTAGGCGTCAATAAACTGTTTAAGAGGAGTGATCATCAGCGCTGTGTCTCTCTCCCTGCCAGCTCCCAGATCAGCTTCTCTGATTGGTTAACGCGGCGCGTCGAGCAGCAAAAATTCAATTTTTCCATCTGGAGCAGCAGCGCGTTTGCGGCGCGTCAGATGCTTAGTCATTCGTTGCGTTCGCCTGTCTGCTAAGCTCAAAACAACCGCGCCTGGCTTGACGGAGAAACCAGGAGAACAGCTGTGCATATTTACGACAGTGCACTTTTACTTTTAGGGCGAAAGTAAAAGTGCACTGTCGTAAATATGCGACAGTGGGGGGAGCCTCGCTGGAAAATCAACACCGGTTGCATAGTGTACCTTTAAAGGAATAGTACACCCAAAACATGATTAGCCTTCATTTTCTACTCACCCCCATGCTGAACAACACTCTGGAGTACTTTTTTGATATCTCAAATGCATCTGGAGATCTAGAGACATTCAAATAATGGAGGTCTATGGTGACCGAGACAGAAAGGTCCATAAAAGTCCACAAAAAAAACGTTTCAATATTCCTCCATACTGCTCGTCCAATGTATTCCAAGTGTCCTGAGTGGGTAGCATCCAGAATTTACTCGAAACGAAGTCATTTAGAATGTTTTTAGAGCATAAACAGTAGTGTATAGGATTTCCTGAAAGCGCGCACATGCGCGCTCCCGACACTACGGAAGCCGGCAGACCAAACCAGCGCATTCAGCTCGGCAAAGAACTCATGCTCTTCCTCAACACTGAAGTCCTCAGACATTTTTCTTTCGTTGTTTCTTTCTTTGCACAGGTAAACAGCACATTTCTTCTTCTACGCTTGCATTATTGGCAGAGCAGACGCTGAATGCGCACTTTCATCTGGCTTGGTCTGCCGGCTTCCGTAGCGTCATGAACGCGCCCGCGCGCGCTTTCAGGAAATCCTATATGTTACGCCCCTGAAAATGGGGAGGAATAAAAACAATGAGAAGAGATGTTTCCTCAGTGAGAACTTTTACTCTAATATAATATTGGTTTTACAACAATTAACATTTATAAAATCGTACAGAGAGTGCACACATCTTACTAATATAGTATTTACCTGAGGCATAAGTCCTACAACAAACAACAGGTCCTCTGAGATTAACATTATAAAACCAAAACATGTTTATTTTAATAAAAGAAATGAAGCACATCATATAACCCATTAAACAACTAATAAGTAGCTTTGTTCATTAAAAGGTAACTGTTTCCTCACACATTAGAAAAACAACTTTATGCTTCAACACAAACTAGTAATGTAATAAAAACTCTTACAAAAATAAATGTGTGCAAAACCTCCGAAATAAGTGCAAAATACACCACCAAAAGCATTTATGCGCATCTACAACGATTCAAAATGGCGACGCCCGTTACAACTTTGTGATGGTCGGTGCGTTCTAGCAGTGAGCCAACTGACACGCCCACACTTACACACATCACTACACTTCTGAATAACTTAAATTATAACAAACACATTTAACATTGCTTTAACATGTTAGCTGATTACTAAAATCATGCTAAATATGTTTAACAGTGACAACATACCTGAAAATGGGGAGGAATAAAAACAATGAGAAGAGATGTTTCCTCAGCGAGAACTTTTACTCTAATGAGGAATAGACCGCGGCATCTCCAGGCATGTGGGCGGAGACAGACAGCGTCATGTCTAGTTCAAGATCGCCTCGTAAACTGTAAATTCACACATCTTAACCACAAATTACACAATCAGGAAGAAAATAAACCATGTAAGGCAAACCACTTTTTAGCGTTTTAACCCTTTTTAAATCAGATGATTTTCCAGATTACCCACTTTTGATTTCTCTTCTTAATGTATTACCGTTTTTTTTAAATAATGAATTCAATAAATTCTCTTATGGTCTAATTGATAATATCTACTATTTTAACTTATCACATATACACTACTGTTTATGCTCTAAAAACATTCTAAATGACTTCGTTTCGAGTAAATTCTGGATGCTACCCCACTCAGGACACTTGGAATACAGCAGTATGGAGGAATATTGACACGTTTTTTGTGGACTTTTATGGACCTTTCTGTCTCGGTCACCATAGACCTCCATTATTTGAATGTCAGCAGACAGCAAGAAGCCTCCCAGATCTCCAGATGCATTTGAGATATCAAAAAAGTACTCCAGAGTGTTGTTCAGCATGGGGGTGAGTAGAAAATGAAGGCTAATCATGTTTTGGGTGTACTATTCCTTTAAGGCGACGCAAATTGATTACAGAGACTGTGATCCACAGGTTGTAAACATACTCTGATACAGTAGGTGGCGACTCGATTCGCGTTAACCCCCGCCCCCTAAATTTGATGGGTGAGTTTGACAGATCTTTTTAATGGTTTCGATGCACTGACACAGGACCACAGGACAAATGCACACTGAAATAATTATATATATTTTTTTAATAAAATGAAGACTTATTTTATTAAATTAATGACACATTTATATATTTAATTCCTTATTTATTTAATGAATTACACATTTAATTAATTGTTTATCGCTGTATTTATTTATTTAATTGTGGCACTTTATATTAGTGACGTGGTTTTAATTAATGAATGACACATTTATTTATTTAATTCCTTATTTATTTAATGAATTACGCATTTAATTAATTGTTTATCGCTGTATTTATTTATTTAATTGTGGCACTTTATATTAGTGACATGGTTTAAATTAATGAATGACACATTTATTTATTTAATTCCACATTTAATGAATTATTGACACATTTAATTATTTATTTAATGCTGTATTTATTTATTTATTTAATTTAAAATTTTAATTTTTATCCTCCATATTGCATACTTCTGTGTCCAAGTATTAGATTAAGGGCATACACTCATATGAAATCAAGATATTGTGGCTTTCTTATTCCTATGCAGAAAATTTTTAGGAACTGTTCTGTTTTCCACATACATTTAAAGATATGCATGTTATTAAATAAGAATATATATTTTTTTGAATTGATCTGTTATGTTTTTTCTTCACAGAAATCCTGCGTACTAACAGAGGTGTGTTGACATTATCTATCAATATTACACCATTATTTACATATTTTTTTATTAAATTCTTATTTATTATTAATTATTTATTGTTGTTTTATCCTAAAGGCCCATAACAAATAAAAATTGAAGTTTGAATATTACATACTGTAAATATTATCCTCTGGTAAATGTATGTTGTTTTACAAAAGTATCTTTTCTTCAAGTAATTTTACTCTAATTTAATTCTTAATCCATATTGCCCTTTTGAGGAAACAAAACCTGGTTTGTCTTGTTTATATTTTTTTCTGCCGTCGAAAACGAAAACCAATAGAAGATATAAAGGTTTAAATGAGTAGAACTCAAAATCTGTACAAACTCAGTGTTGCCAACACCCCAGCAAGAAAAGTCACAATTGACTGTCCTAAAAGGCGCTAGGTAACATCATTACCTAATTTGCATACTCAGTGTCATCCAGCTGCAGGAGATTCTTAATCCCTCCAATAGTTTTTTTTTCTTTTTTTTTTTTTTTTTTACAATGCAGTGCAGAGGGATAGGAGAGCTGGGAGGAAGAAACTTGTGGAGTTTACGATTTTTACTGGAACAAGTAAAGATAAAGAAAAACACATATAATTCAGCCATTTAGTTCCACACTCCATGAATGCACCATTAGTTGTTTGCCATCCAGCAAAAACTTAGAGACCTGAGGAGCAGAAGGTGAGGTAATGAGCAGTTGTTTTATTTGAGACTATCGTGTTAGTTAAAAATAATTTTCATGAATCAATTTTTTAATCTAGGGCGGGATTAGCGGCAGTTTTGCACATGAGCATTTCATTTGCAATCTGGATTCTAAATGGAAAGGTTTACTCTCTCTCTGCATGATGACAGTGGACAGTGAGAGGAAGGGTTAGGATTCACTCGTTCAGGAGGACAAAATATGATGTGTTTGTGTCATCAAAGTTTCCATTAACACAGAAAAAAAGATTCGCTAAATTGGGCACTAGACTCTTTTTTAAAATAACGTAGGTAGAGGGTTCTGAAAAGGTGCGTAATTCAGCAACAGAGGCGCTAAGTTGGGGCTTTAATTAAGATGGATGAAGTTGAAATGTTGGAAGTTACAAAGTTCTTCACACCTCTTCAGTATTTTTGCTGTTTTACTCACATTTAGATTCTTTTTTTGTTTTACATGATACTCTGTATCATGCTAATTTTTCACTTTTGTAGTACGTTCTGTAAGTTTATCTTAATTATTTAATATATTCACTACCTTATCCCTGGATTCCATCTGCATCTAGGTCCGATTTAACCTGACTCTGCCAGATGGATTTGCTCCGCATATCCATCTGGAAACCTTCTGTTGAAGTAATTTTGGGAAGGGCCGAAAATACTGGTTAGCTGATTGGCCTTTGTTAGTGATAGACGGGCCAAATAAACCAATCAGATCAACGAAGCATATGACGTACTAACAGAGCGACGACGAAGAGGAGCCAATTGATTGATCAAACTCTTGCCGAAACCAGTCGGGAGAAGAGCAAAAACATCTTTTCCTCTGAGAAAAGCCTCCAGAGCAGTGTTTTGCTCTTCTTTCAGTGAAGAAATACTCTGTAATTCCGATAAAACTTGCTCGATAGCCACGCTAACGCCAGTTTCATCGGCTGAAGCCGCCATGTTCTTTAGACTGAACTGTCGCGCTTCTCGTTGCGTCACACCTCAACCCGCCTCAAAGCCAACACTGATTGGATGTTCGTTTGGTGAACGGCTCCAAATTTTCTTTAACGAAGAGTGGCCAGACCGATCTGCGAGTGAAACCTTGAAAGCTTGCGGGATCAGGATGGTCTCACGAGGCTAGGTCCGTTTATGAACCATATGCAAAACCCTCAGGTTACTGCAGGCTCGGACTGGTAATCTGTGATACCGGTCATTCGCCCAGCGTGCGAGGACCGGCCCTCCTTAAATCAAACCGCTCCCAACATTTACTCTCTGGCCTCACCTGCCTATGACAGTAAACAACTCAAGGAGCTAAATAAGTAATACAATGTTAACGACCTAACTGATGCATGCAGTATATATATATATATATATATATATATATATATATATATATATATATATATATATATAGCCCTTCCTTGTCATGTACATCCTTGTGACGGTTGGCATATGTTTGGCGAATATATGTTAGAATATTTTACAAAACATGTTGCGGTGAATTATGGGGTTTTCACATCTGTTTAGATTATTCCATTTCATTGCCCAAATGCCACCAAGCGTTGCAGTGAATGCTTACACACCGCTGAGTCCATAAATGGGACGGTGTAGATTGAAAAATGCCAGGGCTGAAAGACGTTCCCAGTCCGAGTCTGGTGTACTTTGTTAAGAAATATCCTGTTGCAAATTGGACGATTTTTCTGTTCAACATGCAAAAAGGGAGAGCTAAAACTAACTGCTTCTAAGGCAGTGGCAAAAACTGGGAAATATTCCAAAACACAAAACATGAAAAGTGAAATTCCGACTTTGTAGTCGTCATGTTTCTCATAAAAAGAAGTCCAAGCACTGATTGTCTTTATAAAAGTTTGTGGAACTGAGCCTATATATTTCTGAAACTGTTATTGTGAGGTACTTAATTTGATCTATATCCACTCTTACTTTAGTTAAAGAAGAAACTCTCCGACATCATGGCTCCAAAACCTGCTTCTGTGACCTCAATGACTACCGCATTACCCAGCAATATGACATCAATACATCCTAGTGAGCCTCCCAGTGCCTGCTCCTTTCATGCTGTGTCACCCGAAGATGCTCAAGAGTTAGCAATGATAATGGAGTCCATTGCATGGCCTGAAACACCACCTTTACTATCTAACCTTTCTCTGGAGAACACCAGTGATCCTGCCCACAGTACTTTTACAATTCTCCCACGGAATGGAGGAGGAAGCTGGCAGATAGGGGATCAATTAGAGGTTTTGATAAAAATGTTTGACTTCAATGGTCGTCCTAAAAGGTCTGGTGGAGATGTCCTGTATGCTCGCCTTGCAAACCGAGCTCTTTATGCAGGTGTGGCGGGGAAAGTGTTTGATCATCGCAATGGTTCCTACACTGCTGTATTCTCTTTACTCTGGGAAGGAACTGCACAGGTTGAGGTAAGACAGAAAAAAAATCTTAAGAGGAGTTAAAATAATGTGTCTCAGCTAAGGCCTCCTTTTCCACTGTTGTCAGTTGCATAAACTTTGTTTCAAAAAAACCTGGATGACTGAGAATCTTGACCAGCATATTGCATGAACATTGTTTCTCCATAGAAAAGGCAGTTTACAACTTTGAATAAGGAATATGTCAAACTCATATGTAAAAAGTTGAATTTGGCTCTTTAATCCTAGACATTTACAGCAGATGTGAGTTTGTCACGTATTATTTGTTTATTCAATACCAATCCGCATTTATTATGGCACAACACCCGAGAGCCACAGTTTTACTCATTGGGATCAAATGGGAGCATATGGTGCAGTAGTGGACTCTGCTCTGAGTGGAAGGGCAGTCAAGATTACTTCAATAGTGCATCAACAACTAATCCAGGGCCCTTTTTCAGAAAGCGTTGGAATCCTACCCTGAGTAGTTAGAAGATACTCAGAGTAGTTCTACCTCTCCCTATTTTATTAAAGCAAATTTAATAAGCATTATTCATTTGGAAAAGGTACAACACCTAACTGCACTCTAATCACTGCATCATGACAAACATTTCTGTATATATAGTGATTGCACTCAATCCTCAACAGGTTCTTCCAGAAAAGGACTCACCATTACCATCAATTCCCTGTGTAGATCTTAGCTAAAAACTAGGAAATACTCAGTTGTACTTCAAACAATAAACAAACTGTGACTGGGCATTTTGTTTAAGTAATTTGTTGTAAAATATTTGCTCTGGGTTATATTTTTCTTGCTTTCTAAAGCAGATAAACCATAGTATGCAAGAAATTACCCCAGAATTTAATCTGGATTGCCACAAACCCTTCTTAGTGAAATGGGGCCGAGACAGTCACAGGATAACCCTAGAACATCTAAATAAAACACTGTTGGAGTCACTTGCCTCAAGCTGAGTGTTCAAACTGTAAAAGCAAGACAGACTAGACTGCTAGCCCAAGAAGCCAAAATTACTATTACATAAAAAGTAAAAGTCAGTGGCAGTTTTGCACGATAATTTTTGGAGGGACTATGAAACTAAAAAGATATCTCAAATACAGTTAGAATTACCCTGCAGTAAATGATAATAAACAGTCTGTGTTATAATTAACTTTCTTTTAATAACCACACAATGTGGTTTTGACCAACATTGATTTGATTGTTCACTGAAGCCATCTAGTCCCTATTGGGGAGAAATTTTTGGCTTCAGGTTATTTTGAAGTATGCTACACCCCCTAACGAGTATGCCTGGATAGCTAATCTTACTGGTAATATCTCAGTTTAGAAATGAAAGGGTGCTAATCGTAGACAGTTGGACTGTTAATTTTAGGAGATGGACCCTTTTTGATCTCCTCTGGGTCTTGTAGGAAGAGTCCTAGAACTCTTAGTTTGCTGGTGTAAAATGTCCCTCTACAAGTTTTTACTTTAATTTTATCATTGATGCCAGTAGCAAACATGGTTTTATTTTATTCTTATTTGTATTTTAAAGGTAACACTGGTTCACCCCAGTGAAGCAGTTACTTTGTTGGAAAAAGTGACCAGAGAGGAGCCTGGCAGAGCATATTCTCTAAGTGTCTTTCGCTCAGGCTCTGTCACAGAAACTGTTAGATGCAATGTGTGCCTTGAAGGTCCCAAACAGAAGCTGTGCAACTACACTGACCTCCACACTGGTGAGCCCTGGTTTTGCTACAAGCCAAAGAAACTGAACTGTGATATGAGGGTCACCCATTCCAAAGGAGGATTCACACAAATAAAACAACCTATGGAAGATCAGCTCTTACAACTGTAAGTACAATATTGATTCTATACTATGTGTGTTATGGCATCTTTGGACACAGTATTGGACACAGTATTCTCTTTTTCAAAAGCTGTCCAAATGTCTTGGAGCAAACTTAAAATGAGCTTAAACAATCTTTTTTTTTAGAAATTGAGTCGTAAGTGTTGAGTGTGCATAGAGGCTGCTGAATGTAGTACTCATTGTTTTCTTTGGAAAAAACATTTACCTGCTAATTAATGTATTTCTGAGGGACTCTGCAAGTGGTCCTTGGCTCTTGAAAAACTCTTCTGACAATTTCTTTAACCTCTCTGTCAGAAATCTTGCGAGGAGCACCTGCATGGTGTTCAATAACACCGGGTACCTTTGCCCCAGCAATCATAGTCTTACGACTACATGACATGACAAAGACAAAAGCTTCATTATGACATGTTGATGTCAAATATTTCCTTATCCATGACAGTCTATCATGTATTTGCTCTGCTTTGCCATAGAGGTGTCAACATGAAAGTCTCCATTTCAGCATCGGGGCCTGCCAGCATAGACATTTTACCAAAACCAAAAGGTAAAACTCTGCATGATCATACGGCCATAAGCTATATTTTGTGGTTTTAACTCTTGAATTTTAATGTCCACAACTTCGGTGGCTGCTGTGAAAAGAGAGACCTGGTAACCAACTACGAATTGCAGAATTTGTTGTGATCAGTGTTGTTTTTGTCAGCCATCTTAGATTTAGTCTAAGTTTTCGTCTTCAGGACAAAAAAAACTAAGGCCTCTCTCAGTACGGACTCATGTCCTCGCCAAGTATGTTCTTGAGAAGAACACAGGAAAGTCTGGACTTGGTTAGAACAGGAGCACGCAGCATAAATATGGGTCATTTGTAACAGAAACGTACTCGTGACGTCACTACATGCTCGGCTAGTCTGGAGCTGCATTTCACCTACTGTTATTAATAATCTCTAGATAGTGATAAATTATTACTATTATAATTTAGTGGGGAATAATAATGAACACAGTCAGATAAACACAATTCAAATGAACATTTTGCCAAATAAAAGCAAAATCGCCATAACAGCCAGCGGTACTTCACACACGGCTGTATTGAACAACAGAAAAGAAAACTTAACTTTCAATGGAGCACACTATTGAAAGCTGCTGCTGCAGTGCATGCTGGGACAGCTGTCAATCTCAAGAACGGACAGGTCTGCTTTGATGCATACTCGGTAAAAAGCGAGGGGCGAGAACAACATCCGGGGAATTTTGTCTGTTCTCGGCCTTTTGTTCTTGTGAATTGGAACAGTACTAGGGCTGAGGATGACGTTTCACGAGTGCACAAGCACTTCAGAACGCACAAGTACACATATTGAGAAACGGCTAAAGACTAAATCTAAGATTTTTATGAATTAATTCCCTACTTTATAAAAAGTGTTGAAAAAAGAAATAAAAAAGCTTTGTGATATATATCATAAAAGTAATATATATAAATACAGGGGTCAAGTACAAATACTTTGTTACTGTACTTAAGTACACTTTTTAGGTATCTATACTTTACTCCATTACTTATTTTTTTCCCTATCTCTGACTTCTACTCATTACATTTTCACATAAGTGTCTGTACTTATTCCATTCCTTACGTTTTTAAAACAAATGTTACTCGTTACTCTTGGCTTTGGTTTAATGTTTATAAATATTTATTTCCCGTAATGTGTGCCATCCAATGCAGATCATTGGCTCCATCCACATCTATTGGAAACTAGTGTTACTGGATGAGTCATATAACACAAACACTCGTTGGTTAGATAAAGGAAATCATCAGAAGCAAGCAGGCGTTCTTCAAACTGCAAACATGAATTATCTATGCCATGCTTCAATGTCGAATTCAGAAAAAGATTTTGAAATGTCTGAAAGGTCGGACACAGGCGAGAGCGTATCGGGAGATGGAGACCAACAAGACCTCCCTCATCCTTGGTAGTCGATAAACTAAGCTTTCAATTTATATAGTGGCATCTGGCTGTTTTTATATCTTATATCTTTATCTTACATTCAGATAAAAATTCCTAAATATAATTTTATGTACAGTTTATTAATATTTTGAAGTGTACAATGGTACATTTTGGAAATCTTTTGAAAAAACACTTTGTTATACACAGAAATATTCATACCATGGAAATGAACACTTTCATTTGACCTGACTCATTTTTATTCTAAAAAAAAAAAAAAAGTTGTATTTTGGTACACCAAAATCACAGGTCCGCCTGCCTAGTGTCTACTAAAACCTTTGTTGAAAAAAATATGCTTCAACCAATTCAGTCCAAATTAAAAATTTGTATAATTTTGGAGCTACACTTGATTTAATCAGATATGGAATTAGAGGCAGAAATTGCTCCTAAAACCCTCTAGGCTCAAAGGGTGAGGTTTTTAATTTGTGCATGCCCTATTGAGTGATCCAAAAGCTCTGGCAAACTATCATGTGAACTCTCACTCCATTGATTTGTTGGGAATAAACAAATCAATGGAGTGAGAGTTCACATGATAGAGCTGAGGTTACTCAGGTGAAAACCTGCAAACATTGATACTCGCAAATTGCCACCATTTAAAGAAACAACGTCATACTCCCAACATGCAATGCCGAAAGAAAGAAAAAAAAGGAAGAAAATGAATTGATTTTCTGTGGTTACCTTCCAGGTGGAGCCAATGAAAACTTAAAGACTACTCCTGCTGGTTATTACTACCAGGGTGTGTGGCGAGCACTGGACGGCACGACAGTCCATCAGTTTAACAACGCTACAGCAATAAGCCAATGTTTGAAAGGGAAGATGGTCCACCTGTATGGGGATTCCACCGTCAGGCAATGGTTTGAATATTTAATTGCAAATACACCAGGTAACTGCCCAATAAAGATGCCCATCAGCAGTTTAAACTGGTTTAAGTTGCAGTCTAATTTTCTCTTTTCAGATCTCCAGAAGTTTGACCTGAAAAGTCCACCAAGAGCAGGACCCTATATGGCCTTGGATTATAAACGCAACATCTTAGTGACATACCGCTGCCATGGCACTCCTATCTTTTTCACTCCCATGTCAGTCAGTGAGACATGTTATATTACCAGTGAATTGAGAGGTGTGGTTGGAAGCACCAACACTGTTATAATTATTGCTGTCTGGGCACACTTCAGCACTTTCCCTGTTGAAGTGTACATCCGGAGATTACTGAACATAAGGAGGGCAGTGGAGCTATTGTTGAGCAGAGCTCCAGGTACACTGGTCATCATTAGGACTGGGAATCCCAAAACGCTGAAAGCTTCCGAGGCACGTATCGGCAGCGACTGGTATTCCTTACAGCGTGATAAGATCCTCAGAGCAATATTCAAAGGGGTGAAAGTACGACTGGTAGATGCCTGGGAGATGTGCTTGGCCCATCACCTGCCACACAGCCTCCACCCACAGCCTCCCATAATAAAGAATATGATAGATGTGGTTTTGTCCCACATATGTTCCCCAGGTGGGGATTCTAAACCTGCAACTAAAAAGTCAAAAGAAAAAAATTAACAAAAGAATAAGTCTACAACCACACAATAAAGCAGCCATCTGGTTAAACTCTACTTATCGTTGTTTCTTTGACACTCATTTATTTATTTTGCACCTATTTGTTTTCTTAAATCGGTTTCATTGGATTTCCTTGTTGTTGCTTGTGTATGTTCCTTGACTCCCCCCTCTCCTGTATTGGCTAGTTATGTTCATTATGTTCTTTGTTATAATGGACAAGTGGAAATGGATAATACCTATATTTTGACCTCACTTGCTTTTGGGTTAATTCTAGCACCATTTACAATCACTTGGTCTTGTGTGTATTCTTAGTGAGGATTTTCCTTTTATTTAAGTAAAATATTTTGTAAAATGCTAACTCTGTGACTCATTGTTTTTATACATATATGGGGACATTTTACTGACATAATGGAAAACTTGTTTGAAAAACTTTGGGTTTTTATTGAAGTCAATTTTTATTTATTTATATGTTTATTTTTATATTTATATAATTTATCTATATGATGGTTAGGGCAAACACAAAAGATGCACCTCAATTATGAAAAGTTGCTTCAAACAACAAAAAATCCTTTAATATTATCATGAACAAAACATTTTCCATATAATTTTCCAATAAAAATTGAAGGAAGGATCATAATCTTGATGAACTGACTGCACAGATGTTTTCAGGTGGACTTTCTCACTTAAAAACATTAAAACTACTGATCACAGCAAATATAGCTGTCATTGTTACAGGCAAAGGATAGGGTAGCTCCGCCCAACTTGAATCAGATCAACTTTTCGACCGCGCAGCTAGAGTGGCAGAGATACTTCAGCGGCGAGTCAGAACTAAACTTGAACAAGCATCAAAAATGAAGCAGCACATTTAAACAAATGGGTTTTTAACTTTTACTTAAAAGAACTCAGGCTATTAGCACTTTTACAGTCTTGTGGGAGTTTGTTCCAGACCTGTGGAGCATTGAAACTTAATGCTGCTTTTCCACGTGTGGTTCTACAGTGAGGAAAATAAGTATTTGAACACCCTGCCATTTTACAAGTTCTCCCACTTAGAAATCATCGAGGGGTCCGAAATTGCTATTGTAGGTGCATGTTCGCTGTGGGAGACATAATCCAAAAAAAAAAAAAAAAAATTTGCTAGAATTCTCCCCCTCAAAGTCCATTTATGATCCTAAATTTGATGCACCTGTTTTAGGTCGTTAGCTGCATAAAGACACCTTTTCACCCGTTCCAATCAATAAGAATCAAACTAATAACATGGCCAAGACCAAAGAGCTGTCTAAAGCAGTGTTGTTGTTGTTGACAGCCATCTTGAATTAGTCTTCAGGACGAAAACCTTTATAGGTCTTAATAACTTTTTAGTCATTACGGTGTGTGATTTTTTTAGTCGTTTTTAATTGACTAAAACTTAGAAAGGTTTTAGTCAGTTTTATGTTGCACAAAAGTGAACCTTTACAATTTCAAATAACAACCAGATTCTTTACCAGACTGCCAGCTCTTGCCTAGATACAATTGCTGAGTATAGAATGCTGCCGTGCAGTTCATCATTGCTGTTTGGCAGAAAACTTTGATTTATAGTATTCAAATAAACTTTTTTTTTAAATAATGCTCTATTTATAAAAAAAAAAAAGTGTCTCACAAAAGTTGTTAGAATAGCAAATCTAGCTGAACACATCATGTTGGTTAAAATAGCAGACAGACAAGCTACCAAACTGTACAATAAAGAAATGGTTTTAGACGTATAAAGTTTCCATCCTAAAGCAAACACTTCCTGATATACTATGAATTATGCATTACACACAGATCAATAAAATTCATTCATTCATTGCTCCAAAAAAGCAAATAATAAAAGCATTCTTCTTTGGGAAGTTTGGCTTTAATTCTGAGAATTTACCCCTCGGTTACTGCTGCTCAGGGTTCAAACGAGATTTAAATTCACCAGGTTTTGATATAAAAAATAAATAAATTGCCTTGTAATGCCATTGCAATCCAGACCTAAATTGAATGAATATGCTAACTAAAATGTTGAAATATTTAAAGGAAACAGAGAAAATGTTTTAATGACAATAGAAGGAAACATTTACATCGTATTTAAATAGATGGAAACGAGAACAATGAGAGAGAAATATTCAAAGTTCTATGTACCTTTTCACCTGGCTCTTTATCCAAAAACAAATAGAATTCAATGAAATATTTTATATGTACCGGTATATAATTTAGGGATTCCTTTTGGTAGACATTAAAAAATGTTTAGTATCACCTCTTGTGAGCTGGAAAAATTTAAATCCTGATAGTTAGACAAAGGGTTTTTTTATGCTTGGCAGAGGATGATCAGCCAGATCACTGAGAATTTTATGCTAAGAGTATTAGAGTAGATTAGATCCCTCTTGGTTTTTTATTTTTCTTGCTCTAAATGTACAGTATGTTACTCAAAGAATACAAAAAAAAAGGGCCCTTGGCTGGTCCCATACAAATCCTTTTTAGACATCAATATTTGTACTAAAATATATTTTATGTCATGATTTTTCGACAATAAGATCTAAAGAGAAGCACCATCTCCCTGTAATTCAGTGAAAGGGTGGAGTCAGAGTAAAAAAATGGTCACTCCAGTGGCTGGAAGTTGAGGGAAGTGGGCTGCCATTCAGCTGGCGTTTGACTGGGAAGGGCTATTGTATATTTAGATCTACCTTAACCTGAAGGTAATTTCTAAACTCCACTTCAGGTGTCAGTGGGTAAATAAATTTGTATTTTTCACAATAGATGCCCAATCTGGGGCATGTTTAGTCTAAAGAGTCAATGTTCCTAAAACATTTTGTAAAAAGTGAAGGTAGCAAGAGATAGGAAAGGTATGTTGGCAATGGCCCCTAAGAGACCATGCATCAAAAAAATAACAAAAAAATCAACCTCTGTTTCACATGCACAAACCAGTTTTTCCTACCTAGTGTTGCTGATGTTTGATAAGTTTGCTTGTCATTCTGGTAAAGTCATGTGTTAAATGACAGATTTCAATGCTCCCCTTTGCTTGGTAGAACAATAAGTCTGAAAAGCCACTGTCTTTGGAGCAAGTCACTGTAACAAAAGATAAAAAAGGAATGTGAACACTGTACCCTAAACAAAAGATCCAATAAGCAGGGCCAAATGTATGTTTTGTAACTTTCATTGCAAAAAATATAGAAAGCAGCTATAGCATAAATATTCTGATTTAGAAAGCAAAATTAAAATAATAGTCTCACCCTGAAAAAACTGATAGCGATTTTTGAAAAACCAAAACAATTTAAAGGTGCAGTAGGAGATCTTTTCTGACACATTTTTTACCATGTGGTTCTCCCCACAGCCGCTTAGAAAACAGTGAAATAGAAGGTCTTGAAGTGAAATTAAAATAAATGTTCCCGGCTACATTGAGAAATCAAGGAAAAACCCCAACCAATCACAAAAGACGGTCCGCTGTACACGATTTGTTCCTCACATGTTGATCGTGGTCGTCTGCTTGTCCCTCCCCCCTGACACACGGACGAATTGACCCTCCAATGCTTGTGCAGGATGCCATGGCTGTTATGCTATGTTTACACCTATTGTGACCAGATTTGGGTTTCTGAAAAGAAGGACACTTTTTTTTTGGTGGGGGGGGGTGGCTTCTGGGGTCACTGACTGGACCTGAGGGGTTGGTCCAGGAAACCGGGAACGGAAAACAGAACACGACCCAGTGATGATATGCTTCCCCACTGGGGCTCCCGGTGTCCAGGCTACCGTCACTAGGTCAGGTTCGGTAGCTCACAGCTCGGTTCTGCTGCACTGTAGTCGAGCACACTCCCAGACGATTTTGAAATTCACCCCAGACATTTTTTTAGGAATGAAAAATACCGCAGTAAGAGCAGCAAAACCTATATTTACCAAGCTATATTTGCTGTGATCAGTGGGTAAAAGGTAGTTTTAATGTTTTTAAGTGAGAAAGTCCACCTGAAAACATCATCTGTGCAGTCAGTTCATCAAGATTATGATCCTTCCTTCAATTTTTATTGGAAAATTATATGGAAAATGTTTTTTTCTTGATAATATCAAATGGTTTTTTGTTATTTGAAGCAACTTTTCATAATTGAGCAGAGCAGCAAAAACGCGCGTGCTGCTTCATTTTTGATGCTTGTATAAGTTAAGTTCTGACGTGCGGCTGTGGTGGCTGTTTTGCCGACAGATTTCGGCATTCTAAGTTAATTTAGGCATTAATAAACTGTTTCAGAGGAGTGATCATAGCGCTCTGCATCATCAGTGCTGCCTGTCTCCATGCCAACAGCTGCTCCTGATGCACTAGAAGCACTGAATACAGCATGTGCTTTCATGTGTTTTAAAGGGGTTTGAAGGGAGAGGCGTGGTTGTAGTTCAAAAATATAGCTTGCTGGAGAAATGTGGAAAAAATAGTAACAATTTACTTTTGCTAATGGTTAGGTTTAAGGCTAAGGTCTCAATTGGGTTAGGGTTAGGGTAAGGTATGCACTGGTAATGGTTAGGTTTAGGGTTAGGTTTAGAGTTAGGGTATAGAAAGGGTTGAGTGAAAATCAATGAAAATCAATAGGAATCAACACATGGTCCTCACCACATATAGCAAAATGTGTGTGTGTGTGTGTGTGTGTGTGTGTGTGTGTGTGTGTGTGTGTGTGTGTGTGTGTGTGTGTGTGTGTGTGTGTGTGTGTGTGTGTGTGTGTGTGTGTGTGTGTGTGTGTGTGTTTAACTGTCTAGCCATCATGGTCCTCACCATAGTGGGGACCATTTTTCCAATTTCACCATCAAATAAAGGACCAGTTGTTGCAAAGGGAGGACATTTTGCTGGTTCTCACAATTTACTTTTACTAATGGTTAGGTTTAGGGCTAAGGTGTCAGTTGGGTTACGGTAAGGGTGAGGTATGCATTGGTAATGGTTAGGTTTAGGGCATAGAAAGGGTTGAAAATTACTGAAAATCAATGGAAGTCAACAGGAGTCAACACATGATCCTCTCTACATATAGCAGAACCAGTGGCGTAGCCAGAAAAGAAATGCTAGTTGTTCCCAAGAAAATACAGTTTTTCCTTTTTTTAAATGTATTAATTCAAAAATAATACACTAACCATGTATTTTAATAGAACAAATGCAATCGCTGGTAAACAAAAAGCGGCACAGTGCCCATAGAAGGACACATCATAGCGTGAGTGCGTGTACTCATGGAGCCATACTGTTATTATTATTAACTTCAAAATAATACATTAACCGTTTATTTTAATAGAACAAATGCAACCCCTACTACACATTAAGTGACACGGTGCCCAGAGAAGACCAGCACATCATGCATGTTACACATATTAGGCATGGTTAACAAACCCATTTAACCAGTA